TGGGCTGGAGATCAACTGCTTCCCCTCACGAGTGAAAACCTGAGCTCTGTGTGACCTCGTTCCTGAGTGAGCTTCTGTTCATCAGTCTCAGGGGAAACTCTGACAGCAACACAAATCGATCATACAGGAATAATTGGATTCTGAATGCCTTCAAAATGACTAAAAGCCACAACTTATACAACTTTGTGCACAGAGCACAGATATCTGCACTTATTCCAAACGCTGCTCAGAACTACTCTCTTCTCCAGGAACTACCTGCATACTTTTGACACGTGATGACAGGTGCTGCTGTGCACCAGGAAGTATCCAGGGCCCACTGCACCGGTCTGACAATGACTCCAAGAAACTCATGCCAACACCGACCAGGCAGTTAGACATCTGTGTGTGGATGATCATAGATATGCCTCCACACAAGTGGGTGGTGTTCCCATCAAAACCATTTGAACAGCACTGGTATTATAATACACATGCTGAGCACTGTCACAGGCACAATGTCTTTGTAATGTCCACAAAACATTTACATGTTCGGACTGTTTTGGTTTGAGTCATTCCAAAGATGGGCTTACGTATAAACACAACGACAGTGGTTTGCAAATCTCATAAACACATCAGAAAACACAGAAAACAGTTCAAACTGAGACATTTTACTGTTTTTCTCTGTTTGGTTTTCAACAGTTGGAACAGGGCAGCAGGTGGCTGAGAAGTGATAGTAAGAAGAAACAGCTGGACAAGCTGTGTGCAGCTGTTCACTGACAACAGTAGCACAACATGATGGAAGAGGGAAAATCTACAGCACACAGTATGAAAAGATTTCAAGGACATGGAAAAATCTGTGCACGAGGGCCAACAGCCAACACTGATGCACGACTGTGAGACACAGGAACAGCCGACAGATGCAGACTGACGATCGTGGTGCAAAGAAGGCTCTGCTGTTCATGTGAGCATGCAGAGTCATTGCTGTGTTCTTCAGGCATCATTAACACGGAGCAGGAAGCTGTTCTGTGGTCAGCCATCAGACAGCGTTCGTCTGGTTTCCTTGGATACCACGTGTTTACTGTTTATCTTAAAACTGTATGTTTTCTGTTGTACTGTGAAAACA